GCAGGCCTGGACCAGCCGCCCCACCCCAGGCCGCTGCCCACTCGGAGCCCACACTGGCCGGGTGGCTCACCCACGCCTGCCTGTCGAGTGACCTGATGGGGTTCCCGACTGGTCCCCACCTCCCCGAAGGAAGGGGGTTGCAAGGGCAGAACCCGTCCCTCTCCAGCCCTTAGGTTTCTGTCCCTGTACCCAGGAACCCCAACGGTGACCTCTACCAACAGGGTCATTACGCGAGTCAGGACGGGGTCACCCTGGGGTAGGGTGGCCCCAGCCGAGGTCAGGGCGTCCGGACACAGACTTGCACCCGGGAGGGGCCGCCCTGTGGAGCGGGAGGCAGAGACTAGGAGACCGTTCACCGCTGAGGCCGGGAGAGGGCTGGGGCGTCTTCTCCCTCACAGCCCCGAGGGCCCAGCCCTGCCTCCCAGCGCCTCGGCCCCAGGGCAGAACAGACAGAATAAATTGTGGTTGAGGCTGCCCGGCCAGTGGACTTCTTCCTGGGCTCCCCAGAAATGAACTGAGGAGCCCCAAACGCGGCTCCAGCTGGGGGTTCCGGGGGATCCTGGCATGTCCGGCAAGGACAGCCACCCAGCTGGAAGCAGGCAGCTCTGGGGTGACACCAGTGTTCCCACCCCTCCGGGCCGGCCACCTGAGATGCGCGTGCACTGTACCTCGGCCCGGAACCCCACGGTAGCCAGGGACCCTGCAAAGCTGAGCTCTGGGGGCCCGCCTGGCTTTGGCGACACCCAGAAGACACAGGATGCCCGACGCAGGGTGTGGGGTGTCGGAGTCTCTGCAACTGGTTTGAAGGTTGCGAAACGACGCAGCCAGACAGGTTATTTGGGGTGCCACGGGGGAGGGGAGGCCAGACCTAGTGGCTGCTCAGGACGAAAGTCACAAGCAGGGCCTGCAGGCCTGGGGCGGAGGGCAGGCTTGGTGGGTCCCAGCCAGTGCCGAGATGGCTGGAATTAGCCGCCAGGAGACAGCGTGAGCCACTCTGGTCTTGCAGCTTCCCTGGGCAACAAGCCCTGGCCGCCAGAGCCCGCCCTGCCCCGTGACCCTGCGTGGGGCCACCTCTGCTTTGCCACAGTCCCCACCACTCCCTTTTTGGCCCCCAGGCCTGCTGCAGGCCAGCCTTTCCTGGATTTCTGCCTCCCTAGATGAGCCAAAGGCTTCTCCCGAGTCAGCCATCTCCCCTTCGCCTCACCCCTCAACAGCTGGCGGACAGAGCGCCCAGGCAAGACCGAGCGCGCGCCCAGGGAAGCTGCACCGGGCTCTCAGAGTAGATGCGCGTGCCCGACTAAACTTCCTCCCCACCAGGCTGCCCGCCCTCAACTCCCGACACCCGAGGTCCAGTTAAAGCACCAAGCACCGTGGACGGCTCGGAGCGCGCCTCCCCCGCCGCGGGGCCCGGTGCTGGGTGCCGGGCGCCCTCCCACAGCTCTCGCAGGGCCTTGCAGCTTTGTTCAAAGTTGAGGCTGCACGTAAACGCCGCGCCCCCGCTCGGCTCACGAGGGGAGAGCTGCTCTGCCAATGCGGGGTGACAGAATGGCGGGGCTGGGGTGCTGGGCTGCTGCGCCCCCAGGAAGCCCCGGGTGGCTCCTGGCCTCTGCTGAAGGGTCCGGGCAGGTGGCTTCATTTTCAAGTTTATCCAGAAGCGCCATTAAGCTGTGTGTGCACGGGGGGAGGGGAGAGCCTCCTGGGACCTCCCCCCTGGCTCTGCACCGTGACAGCAGGCGTGGGCTGGTGGGCAGACGGTGACACCACAGACAAGCTCCCGCCCTCCCCTCGGCCAGGCCCGGCCCAGGGGCATCTCTAACTGCCTCTCCCTACACTTATTCACCCCACAGGGTCCCTGTGCTGCAGTCCACCCCAGGCCCCGGCCGGCCTGGGTGACAGGCTCCTGGCCCCAGGTGTAAAGCCAGGACCTCGCCTGCGTGGGCAGTCGGGTGACCACGGTGCCACCGTGTCTCCTTCGCCTGTCTTCTTTTACTAGAGGGCGTGCGCGCTCGAGAGGGGGAGGGAAAGCACCCCTCCTGGGTATGGCCACACCTCGACCCTCCTCCCATCTCCCCTTCCTGCCGGGACGTGGGCACGCACCCATGTCTCTGGAGTGTTTTCCGAGTCACTGGGTCTGGGACTCGAACCAAACCCTGCAGTTGGTTTTGTCCCTAAATTTTAGATTTTTGCCACGAGGTGCTTGTACTCACCAGGCAGAGAGGGAAAGTGAGAAATCAACTGAGGCGGATGGCCACACAATCCCCTCATTCTTTCGGGATTTTGGGCACATGCACACATACACGCCCACCCGGTGTGACTTCTGAACCACCAGGGGTCTGGGACTGAAGCCACGAGCAGCCACCATGCCACCTGCTGGCACCCCACGGGCACCGTCACTGGGCCTTTATGCTGTAGAAATGTCCCTCCCGGAGACGCCACATGCCTTGGGTCTGGGGCCGCACATGACCAGCCAGATGCTTCTGAACCATCTTATTTATTTAAATATGAAAGAACATGTCGCTTCTTCCCAGTTCATCTGAAAGGCATCCCGTGTAAATGTAAGAAAAGTCCCAGAGGCACACGGGGGCGTCAGCAGGAGCTGGAGGGGAGCAGCTGGGTTTCCCGGAGCCTGGCTTCAGGGAAGCTGCCGCCCCCTCGGTGCCCCCCCTCCTCGCGCCCCCCGCCCCCGAGGGCAGAGAAGCACGGCAAGGAGGGGTGAGGAAGGTGCACGAGCCAGGCCCCGCGGACCCTCCGGCCCTGGTCAGGGCAGAAAGCCCCGGGTCCCACCTAGAACATCCGTGGTGAGCCAGCCCTGGCAGGGCCCGGGTCCTGCAGCGGAGGTGGGGACGGCGGCCCATCACAGCTCGGTGCGGGATGCCTTGGCCACGACCACCAGCTTCGACAGCTCAGCCTTGAATGCCCCGGGCCTGTGGGCCACTGTGAGGAAGGAGCACAGTCAGGCCCTGGCGCCCACACCCTGGGGGTCAGGTGGGTGGGCAGGGAGGGGTGCCCGCGGGGGCTCCCCTCGTGGGAAGGCCCCAGGCACCGAGTCTTCCGAGCGACGGACAGAGAGGCGGGTGGCGGGCAGACAGCCCGGTGCCACACTGAGGGCAAGGGTCACCCTGGTGAGCCTGTCGGAGCGCAGGTGACGCTTCCAGCAGGTCAGGGGCTCTGGGTGCCTCTGCTGCCCCCCTACGCCCTCCCTGCTCACCCCTCTGCGGGTTCACAGCGCCCAGTGCTGCCGGGTGACCTCGCCCAGCCTCCCCTGGTACTCCACAGTCCCAATCCCGATGCCGCCCCGGCCAGAGACCAGCCGTGCAGGGGCTTCACAGACCCTCCCCATCTACGGGGCTCACCCGACGGCCCTTAGGGACACCCGGCTCGGCCGAGTATGAATTTACACGTGCTCGGACCTGTCCGGGTGGGCAGTACACCGTGACCACCACCGGCTTTTCCCA